GAAAATGCAAGCTAAATTAAATCTAGTCGGCAAAAATATCTGTTTTGCTGCAGGCAGATGTAACAGTAAATGACCCTGTATTCCTCACCCACTGGGAGGACCTCCTGACAACACTGGGCAGACAAGCCTACTTTGTTTGGCAATGCCAGTCCCCAAGCTTGCCCTGTTTCTCTTGTCATCAGAGATTCTCTGCTTATTTGTCAGGTGCACTGGGCCAGTGGTTTAGTGCTTAGCTGATGGAGTGACTCATGAGTCAGGAATATAACTAGTGGGGCTAATGGTGGGGGTATGAGGAGGAAACAAGTCAGCCAGTATTGGGTCATACATAGTTAAGTACCATGTATGTGCTAGACACTGTTAGAACCTTTATATGTGTTGTCTCGTTTAATCCTTACAATAGCCCCATGACATAGAAACCATTATTCCCTTTTCATAAATTGAGGTTAAGAAGCACGAGCTCTAATTTTTGTTTAACCACCAATGAAAAGTAAAAAACACTAGGCCAAATTATGGGTTTTCAATTGTGTGTCTAGGAGCCCCAAGGCCCAGCAAAGATTCTGGGGACAGGAGGGGCTGCAGAATCATGCTTCAGCCACAGCAGCCATGCTGTGATCTGTTTTATGTGGTGGCAGGGCCAGCTCCATGAGAGTAACTAGTGTAGCCGCACAGGCCTGCTGAGTGCAGAAGGAGCCCTGTGCTTATGATTTAATGCTCTGCAGATTCCATTTTGAAATTCTTAATAATTTATCTTTAATTTCTGTTTTGTAAGTGAAATCCAATGGGACAATGGAGTATGTGCTGGTGGCCTGCATGGACTTCTGACTCCCCCTTGCCCCACTTGCTGTAGCCTCTCTGCCTCCCTGGGATGTGTTCTCTGCTGCCTGCTCTCAGCCCTGGTGCCTTGGGTCTCCCCTTTCACCCTAGGTCAGCAACCAGATTGCATTGGTGGGAAAGGGAGATGGGAACCATGTCTTCCAACCCCGGCAGGCCCAGACAGGGGCATGAGGAGAATTGGGGTCAGATGCACATCTTAAAGTGTCTCATGGTGGGACAAGGTGGTGACCATCCCCACCCAGGATGGCAACATCATGGTGCATTCAGCAGATGGCTCAGTAGGGGTCTCTCACCCACCTTCAACCCAGGTACCAATTCATGCACACATAGAATATGGCAGCATTTGTATGGCACACTGTGGTAAACAGCCAAGGTAGCACCTGCTAGCCTTGAATCTCACTCAGTAGCCCCAAGTTGAAGGCAGCTCCATCCCAGGCTTAGGTTAGTAGAGTCTCCATCTTCGTCTTGTGCTTTAGAGGCCCCCTGCTCCTCCCACCTCATTGGCCTCACCCATCCTCACAGGGTGTTATCCAGGGACCAAGGGGACATACCTACCAAAGCACCCAGCCTTCCTTAGGACTAGTTTCTTCCCCCCACCTCCAATCTATTACAGACAAATATGTGGTCCTACTGTGCATGACTAATACACAATTCACACCACTGTGACTCACCACATCAGAATAGTCTACACCCTGTTCAACTGGAGATGTTCAATCAGACAAGTTCACCCTTGGATGTTCTGGAAATGTCAAGTTGCCATAGAAATTTCTAAATGCTTGCACTGAGTTTTAATACTTATCCCACAGGAGGCATGTAATAACAGTTTGGTCTCTGGACCACACCAGGAAGCTCTATTCTAGACTCTTCTGCTGGTGCTGGGACCCTAGACTCCAGTCCAAATCACACCAAGCCTGCTTCCAGCATCTTCATGGGCCTCTTCTCCTGATGCATTGTCCAGGTGTACACTCCCGTAGGCCCAAGGGGTGGCCAAAGGGCAGCTGTCCGCAGGGAGGAGTGAGGACGGAGATTAGACAGGTGTGCTGGGGTGTCTATACCATGCATTTCAGGCCCCTTTTTGTGCAGGATGGAGAGGGGATAGGAAGAGAATGGGGGCTGGCTGTGATTGGTGGAGGAAGGTGGGCACAAAGATTTAGGGCAAGTCCAGATGAAGGAATTTATTTCTCTGTGCATCTGGAACCCATCTACAGCACCCCAATGTGCTGTCGCCTCCCAGTCAGGAAGCTCTGGATCAGGCATTTTCTGTTGTGACTTTCAGTGTTTTGAATTCTGATTTCTATCCCACGGCCACAGTTGAGAGCCCTGTAGCATCTGACAGAGCAGGTGCATGACACGAGGATCACGATGACCTGTGGGCCACTTCCCAGCCATGAGGGACTGCAGGCTCCTCAGCTCTGCCCAGTCAACCACCTCTCCCTGCCATACTGTGCTTCTGATGCCTGCCTCAGATAATTTCTCAACACCCTGGGAAAAGATTCTGTTTGTTTTCCTTAGGTTTGATTAAAAACAAACCCAGGCAAACACCCCAAAGGAAAGATAGACAAATGACTGGACAATTTTAAAAAACCTCCGTAATTAGCCAATAGTCACATAAGTAATATATTGTCTCTAGTAAATCAAGAAGCGTAAACCCAAGCAATGAGATACTTTATTTTGCCTCTCAAATTGGCAAAGATGATAAACAAAAAAGAAAATATTAAGTATCTGTGAGGGTTTGAGGAATATTGTTCTTTCAAATACTGTTGGCAGAAGGGCAATAGGGAGAAAGATTTACAAACGTAAATTGGGGAATCTATTGCAAAAGATGTAAAAATGTGCATATCCTTTGAATGTTGAAGACATCGTTGCACAGTCATCTTATGCTGGTTGCTGAGGAAAAACCGCTGTGATGTTCACGCTTGATTTTTTTCCCTCTTCCGAAGCTGTTCCTGCTGTCATTGACGTTCTGAGATTTCACTATGATCTGTCTAGGTCGAGTTTCTCCCTCTTTTTTTTTTTAATCTTGTAGGTTGGTGGTGGTTTCACATCTTTTTTCAGTTCTGAGAACTCCATATCTATTATTTCTCTGAATGTTGCTTCCCTTCAATCTTCTCTACCCTTTCCTTCTAAAACTCCTCTTAGACCAAGGTTGTAATTTCTGGATTTCTATCCTGTGCTTCCTAATATGTTTTTCATACATTCAGGTTCCCCTTTGTGGCACCTTCCAGGAGAATTCCTTGTGTTGCCCTTACAGCTCACTCAATTGCTCTTTAGTTATGTCTATCCTGCTATAAAGCTTCTCTATAGGCATTTTTTCTTTCATTCAACAGTTAAGATTACTATTTCAAATATCTCTAATTGATCTTTTTGGGGCAATCTTGTCCTCATTTTGTGGTTATATTATCTTCCTTCATTTTTCTGAGCAGATTAATTACATGTATTTAAAATTCTCCTCTGCATATCATATTAATTGCATTTCCTTTGGGGTCTCCATCGTAGAGTTTTTTGTCTCTCTTTTATGGTATTAGCCTGTCCCAAATGTCTGCTTATTTTTGTTCTTGTACTAATTTTTGAGACTGAAATTTCCTGCTAGAATGTCAGCTGCATCTATTTGAGAAGCCCACTGGGAAGGAAGGAATGGAAACTATAACTGGCCTAACTCCTGGCACTGTTTTCAGAAAGCCAGTCTTCCTGGCTTGGTTTCCTCTTTCTCTCAGGTGGCAGCAGCTCCAGGTAACACTGCCCTTCTCTCTAAGCCAAGCCCCTCACAGACTCCTCCTTCGTTGCCATCTGGCCTCAGGGCTGGAGGATCCTAGTGGCTGACCCACCTGGCTGCTCCTGGCCTCCCTGCGGCTGTCACAAAGCCCCTGCCTGGCCCCTGCATCCCACTTAGTGACCCCCCTCATGCTTCCCAAGTCACCTTTGTCTTTCCAATAAGATACTTGTCATCCTTCGTGAATTTCTCTGTGTAGTCCTCCTCTTGATTTTCACTGAGGCTATTTATTCAAACCTCTTTCTATCATTTCTTGACATTTGTTATGGGAAACACCCATACTCCGTGTAACACTTTGAGATGGAATTGTGCAAAAATCTCTGTATAGCTTTCAAGCTAGTAATCCTGCTTCTAGGAATTTATTCCACAGAAGTAATTAAGAATTAAGCTTTACCCACAAGGAATCTCATCACAGTAACATTTATTATGAAAAAGAATTAAATATCCAATTAGAGGGGACTAGTTAAATAAATGGTGACACATGCATACAATGGCAGACCTGTATGTAAAATAATATGGTGGGATATTTAATGGCATACAGAAATGTCATCAATGTATTATTTCAGGTTATGAAATTATTTTAAAATCTCTTTATGTATAAAACACACATGTTCTTATAGAAAAAGGTAGCTCTGCATGGTGAGATTTCCGGTGATTTTTACTTATTTTATTGAGTCATAATTGATTATACATATGTTGGGATTCCATGTTGACATGTGTTGATCAAATCAATACTACTAGCATGTATATTGCTACAGATTGTACTTACTCTTTATGCCCCTTGTCCAATCTCTCTCTATCCCCCTCTCCCTCTCCCAACCCCCCTCTAATTACCCTAGATTTCTTCTCTTCCTCTGAAAGACTAATGGTTACTCTATTGATTTGTTGCCTGGATGATCTGTCCAATGCTGAAAGGTGTCCAATATTATCATAGAGCAGATGCTTCTTCTGTCACTCTGGAATGGGCTTTGTGGAGAGAGGCATCCTCTTCTTTTCTTTGGTCTCTGCTGGTAACTCTCCTTGTGTCAATGAACTCCAGTGCCTGGTGGACCATCTGTGTGGTGCTTGTGACATCTAGCCACTTTCACAGCAGCCATGTTTACTGTGGTGGCTGTGGTGGGCCACCCACATGGAGATGATGTTTTTGGCATGCTCCTTAGTGCTGGTGGTGTGCCTCATTGTCAGGGGGTGGGGTCCAGTCCCCGGCTCGATGCCCAAGGTCCCGGCTCGATGCTTGAGGCACTGGTGGTAGGCCTGGTTGTGGGCCTAGGGGGGGGGTCCGGCCCGCGGCTCCATCAGTGACTTTTATTTATTTTTTAACTATCTTTTTCTCCTCAATCTTGGGATTGTTTGCAACAACTGCCAGCCTCTGTTGTGCATCCTCTGCTTATCTCCTTCAGGTGTGCTGGAAGATGGACTGTCCTCCAATGGTGTACCCCAATCTACAGCCCCAGGTGGAATATCCAACCCAGAGAAGAAGATGAGCTCTGGGACCCAGTGCCCAAATCCCCAGAGCCTCAGCTCAGGCCCTCTGACGCAGAAACAGAATGGCCTTCGGACTGCAGAGGTAGGGTCACAGCCATACAGAATCAACTTGGACTGGGGAACGGGGGCAGAGCTTGTTTCAGGGCAGCACCAGGGGAGCTGTGTCCAGGGAAGGAACAGTGAAGGCTCACATCAGCAATGGAAATTCGCCACCCCACCCATGTAAAAATTGCTGCAAACACAACCCCAACCCCTGCCTTGAGGGTCACTGTTTTTTGTTGAATCAGCGGAAATGGATCCTTGATATTTGCATTCTAAAGGACGTGTGTGTTTGCTTAAATCCAGCTTTGTCCAGGGGTCCTTTTCTGTGGCGACTCTCACCTTCTTGACTGAGCTAGTCAGAAGAGCCAGTCTCCAGTCTCAGGGGTTAGCAGGATGGGGAGCAGGCAGGGGAAGGAGAGAGAACAAGGCAGTAGGAAACAAGCTCGGCATATTGCCTCAGACCCTCCAACAGGGGAACAGTCGAAGAGTCCTCACAGGTGTCTCTCATAGCCAAATGTTGTGACAGCATTATCCCCAGACTGTTGCTGTTGGAGAGGAGGCAGGGCTGTGGTGTCCCTGGACCTGGCTGGCGTCATCTCTGATGCTTCCTTTCCTCTCAGAGCTACTGTTGGGAAGCACTCCTCCTGCAGCCCTGGCTCCTCCTGTGGGTGACAGGCAGCCAAGAACAAATGCTCCTGTTGGCCCAGCTCGGCTCGAGGGGTCTGCAGTCTCTTCCTCTCCCTACTCAGCTCGTCCCTCCCACTTCCTCACCTTTCCCCTGCCCCAGCCCCCTTCAAAGCCTGCTTCTCACCCTATGCTCCCAACCCATTTTCTCCTCTCTGCTCTGTCACAACTTACAGGTCCTGTCCCTTCAGGCCAATGCCACCTGTTTTCTGAGGGTACAGCTTGTTGTCTAATGATAGAATTCTTGCTCACACCAGGGAGTTGCATAAGCTTTGGTCAGAAAACCTGTTGCAAAATCATCTCTAATGCTCATTAACTAAGGGTCTGTGCAGGATTCACTTAATCTCTCAGAGTCTCAGGTCCCTTATGCACATGATGGAAATAATACCAAACTGAGTGAACAGATGGGCCTCCTATTTGTAAACTGAGATGTACATAAGAACGGCAGTAAGGATTAACAAGGGATAGTTAGGCACATGGCACCGTAACCCGATTAAAGGAAACACTAGTAGTGGCCCTTCAGACACAGTAGAAGGTTATGGGTAGGGGGCAGACTTGAGGCTAGTGGTGGCCCTCTATTGTCTACTTTGCCTGTGCCTGAGCTGGCCCTTTAGAGACCTGATCATCATTGCCATTTCCCAAGGCAGTCTGGGCTCCACAGAACTATGCTCAGAAGCTTGGTGACCTTTCTAGTCCCAGACATTTGTACACTGGCCTCCTCCCTATACTTGTGCCCCCCTCCCGTGGAGCCAGGATGGGCCATGGTAGGGAGAAGGCAGCTTTCTCTGGTGGATGGCATGATCCATGCCCTTGTTTTGTGACCTCATTTCCTGCCCCTGCTATCTGTCACTTTAAAAGTGTGTTTTGCACTTTGCAAAGTGCTTTTAGGTCTACTGGCTCACTAAATCCTCTCAAGAGCGCTGTGAAGTAAGTGCCATCCCCATTTTATGGACAAGGAAACTGAGGTCCATTTGATTGTGTGACATGAAAAATGCTACATAAGTGCTGAAGATGTGTGTCTGCAACTTTAAATTTAAAAAGATGGAGCATAAGATCTTAACGTACTTTTTTTAGAAGAATAATGTATTAGTCAGCTATTGCCTCAGTCATGCTGCATTACAAATTGGCACATCAACATTCAGTGGCTTAAAACAGCCATCTTTTTCCCCACCTCATGTTCAGCTGCAACTTAAATGGGACTTAGCCTGACTCTTGCTCCAGGCTCCAGGTCTGGCTCAGTCTGTTCCATGTGTGTTATTCTGAGAATCAGACCAAGAAAGCAGCAGCTCTCTGAGGTATATTCTTCTCAGGACTATGGCGGAAACCCAAAAGGACAAAGCCAGGCTACTCGAACACATTTCCTGTCTCTGCTCACATTATACCCACGAACATTCTACTGGCCAAAACAACACAAATGGACAAGCCCAACATTAACAGGGCAGGGAGTGGAGAGGGAGCAGAGAATTAGGAGCCATAATGCAGTCTGCCCCATATAACATACGTACAAAAAAATGCAAAGTCATAGTTTCTGTGAATTTTTATAAGGTGACACATCCATGCAGCCATCATCCGGATGAAAATATAGAACATTGTCACTACCCCAGAAATCCCCCTTGTGCCCCTTCCCAGCCACCATCAGTCCCCCACGATGAAATCACTCTTCTGACTTCTAGCATTATAAATCATTTTGGTTTATTTTGGGGATTTTTATGAATAGAATCATACAGTGTATGCTCTTTTGTGTCTGGCTTCTGTTGCTCAACATTGTCCTTGTGAAAGTCATCCATGCTGTCGCAATGATTTCCTCATTTTCATTGTATGTATATTTCATTATATGAATACACCACAACCAGTCATTCTATTTGATGGACACTTGCGCTGTTTCCAGTTTGGAGCTACTGTGAACAATACAGCTTTATCATTCTTGTGCATGCCCCTTAGTGGACATTCACTTCCTTTGGGTATATACTTAGGAGTGGAATTGCTGGGTAATAGGATAGGTATATATGTGACTTTAATAGATACTGACAAATACTTTTCCAAAGAGGTTATGCCGCTTCACATTCTAACCAGCAGTGGATGAGTTCCAGCTGTGTTACGGAACATAAGAATTTAAAATCAGTAAGTGGTGCTTAGTCTATCCTCCTTAGGCCTGTGATAGCTATTTATTTGTGTGTGTTCTAGGTACAGCATAGGGTGCTAAGCACTTTGTTATATTATCTCACTTACTCTTCCCAGTAATTCTAAAATGTTGATATCGTTGTCTCCAGTTTACACGTGAGAACTGAGCACTCCGCCACACCACACGTGTACATTCTGAGAGCTCGTGTGGCAGTTGAAATAGTGCCAGGCATAGCCAGCTCCCACGGGGCTCCACAGCAGTGATAATGTGTCCCTGGAAAGTGACCACCAACACACACACACACACACACCCCTGACCAGCCCAGCGCCACAGGGCACATGACACATATGGATAAGCAGTCCATGCAGCTTTTGTTTTCACAATACAATGAACAGTGGCTGTGTTGTAACTATTTCCAAAATAAGGCCAGGGAGCAGATAACTTCAGTTTTAAGTTCAGACAATTGCTGAAGTTCATCAGTGGTCTTCATAAGACCTCACCACCCACCAGATACCCTGAGTCCCTCAAAGGGCAAAGCAAAGGTTTTCTTCCTAAAATGTCAGTTCACCTCTGATTGAAGCTCCTGTCAGCAGAGCTGTCTCATACCAACACTCTGGCAGGCTCTCAGCTGCCTAGAATCAGCCCAAAGAAATGTTTTGTTTTGTTTTTTTAATTAATTAATTTATTTTTGATTATACATATTTATGGGTACAGAGTTGACGATCAGTATTTGTGTACAATAGGTGATGATCAAATCAATATTATTAACATGTTCATCATTACAAATTGTAATTATTCTTTGTGTTCTTTGCCCAATTACTCCCTAATCCTCCTCCTTCTCCCCCTTTCCCACCTCTAGTAACCATAGGTCTGTTCTCTCCTTCTGAAAGTTCAGCATTTATTGTGGCCTTTCTTTCTATCTCTCTGTCTTTCTTAGCTTCCACTTATGAGTGAGGACATGTGGTATTTCTCTTTCTGTGTCTGGCTTATTTCACTAACATAATTTTCTCCAAGTTCCTCCATGCTGCTGCAAATCCAGCCCAAAGAAATGTAGTTTTCCTGTTCCCTCCTGGGCCTTGATATTCTGGCTCTTCCTGGCTTGTCCATTATGCTCCTTATGACTGGGCCAAAGCGTCATGCATCATCAGCATCTGGCTCAGTCAGTGTGCACTTGCCTCTTCCAGTCTTCCTTCCTTTGCATCCCAGGATGACCTATTAACATTTCACCACGTTCCCCTAGTGCAGCATCAGGGCACCTGGCTGATGGTTCTCCAGCATTTTTGAGAGCTTCCCCTCTCTGGCTCAGGAAAACCCCTTTTGTGAAGCGTGCATCCTCGTCCACAAGCCTACTGCACTTTTCCCACTCAGATCTACAAAACAAGTTTGTGCGTTAGAGGCAATGCTTGCTAGCCTTGGAAAATGTCCTTGTCAGTTCCTGTAGCCCCTCTTAAGATTCATTCATCAGGTGTTCATTGAGTGGTATCAGGGTGCTAGGCGCTGTTCTAGTGCCAAGGATCCAGGTCTGGACAAGGCAGACATAGCTTGTGTTCTGGAGCAGCTGCCAGTTTTAATGCGGGCGAGGGCAGGGAGTCAGATAATACAGAGTAAATAAACAAAGGATTTATATATCGAATGGTGCTATAAAGGAAATAGAAGGTTGCTAGCAGGGGGTAGAAACTACTCTATTGAACACAGACGCCACCCCAGAGTTCAAATTGCTTTCTGAAGGGTGACGGGGGCAACTAATGCTGCTAATGACAGGGCACAGAAGCATTTCACATTATGGACCCTTCCCCACTTCATATCCCACCAAACAAATCATGTCTTTATTTTTTCAATTCCCTCTGGCCCCTGCCTTATGCCTAGTGTTAACAGGTGCTAACTGGCAAAAAGAATGTGGCAATGATCTTTTGCAAATTGAACTGTCTGTCTTGGTGGGAGCTCTTTCTCTCTCTGTTGCACCTTGATTTCCTCAATCATGTAGGTGCTAACTGGCAAAAAGAATGTGGCAATGATCTTTTGCAAATTGGAACTGTCTGTCTTGGTGGGAGCTCTTTCTCTCTCTGTTGCACCTTGATTTCCTCAATCATGTGGGACCGTATTGATTGCACAGCGTCTGATAAATCATTGGCTCGATTTCCCTCACCCAGCTCCCTGTCTGAGCTCAACAAGCAGCATGAGAGGCAGCTCTGTGTTTCCTTGTCTTCTCTGGCTAATCGGTTATTCGGGAACTC